GAAAAGTCCAAATGTATTATTTGTTTCTTATAGAAAGGTTAAGAGAAAAGGTCAAAAAAAGAGAGAGAAGGAAGTCTCCATGGTTGACTTGGAAGCTTCAGATGAAGTAACGATGGCGGAGAAGGGAAGGTGATAGTGAAAGCGTGTGTTGCGTTTTTAGGTAATTTGGTAAAGAAGATAAGGAAACAGCTCACAATAGTTACTGATTTCGCATTTATAACAAGAAAATCTTTTATGCTTATAAATCGAAAACATTCTATAAACTTGATGAATTTAATTTAGATATTAAAATACCTTAATGATCTTTTTTTCCTAAATAAAATACCTTAATGATTGGAGACTAAGTTTATTACTCTTAACTGAAATGGTTTGCTCTTTTACTTTTCTTTAAACAACAAATAGAAAATGGCATGTTAGGAGCGACATCAATTATATAAGTTTTCCACTTGCATACCAAAAAAAATTAGAGAATAAATGTTTTTATTTTATTTTACTAGTTTTTAGATGTGCTTTACTTGAAAATTTAACATAAAACATCCATTTGAAATTAAATAGTTATTTCAGTTAAGATGTGCATATTATTGCTACTATGCTGGGTTATGTGAACGGGTCCTACGAGAGTTTCAATATGTTTAAGAGCGACTAAATGATACAAACAAAACTAATCGTTTAATGTAACTATCTAACAATTTGTAGAAAAACGACAAGTTATATAACATCTTACAATTTTTGATTTGGGTTAAAATATTGTTTTTGTCTTTTTTCAAGGCCCTTTCACTTTATATGCCCGACAAATTACTAATCAGATCCTCCATTTTTTAATCAACACTAAGGTAACTTTTTAAATAATTTAAAAGTTTAAAATCCACTGTAAAGTTCAAAACCTAGTGGATTTTTTAAAAGGGTTTTGTCCGGGTCATTTATGCTGGGTCCATTAGGTAAAACGAATCCGAATCGGACTATCCACGAGGTTCCAGTTTTATCGGTTCGACCGGCCGGTCTAGATCTAAAAATCATCGTTTTCGATCTCGTCGCTGCTATATGAACACAAGACCTAAACTAAACCCTAAATCTCTCCCTCTCTCGACACTTCCATTTCTCACATCTTCTTCCTTTTTCCCGTAAGCTCTCTACAATGGCGTCGATGATGGTAAGTTGTATCTACACTCTTATTGCATATTATCTATTTGTTCAAACACTGACTTACGCGACACTACTTTGGTTTGGATTTTTCGTGAGCAGCAACCGCAAATCATACTGCTCAAGGAAGGTACAGACACTTCTCAGGGGAAAGCACAGTTAGTGAGCAACATCAACGCTTGTACGGCGGTCGGAGATGTGGTTCGAACTACGCTTGGGCCGCGAGGTATGGATAAACTCATCCACGACGATAAGGGATCCGTCACCATTTCTAACGATGGTGCTACAATCATGAAGCTTCTCGATATTGTTCATCCTGCTGCTAAGATCCTCGTCGATATCGCCAAATCCCAAGACTCCGAGGTATTGTTTGCTTTCGATTTTATTTTGTCCCAATCTCAATTTTTTCATAAGAA